GTAAGTAGTGTAACCATGGCCTTATATAGCTTAAACCATAGTCTCCTCTATACTCACAAAGCCTGGCAGTTCGACGACGGAGCCATAGAGTGCTCGGCCGCAGATAGGAAGCGCGAGGGTCTGGTAGCAGACAGCATTTTTGTTATTCAGCGCACAGCTTGTGCAGTGGCGAGGACCCGAAACATGGTTTTCAAACCCGACGATAAAAGAAGCGGTAGCACGAGGAACGCGAGAAGCACAGGCGGACATTGCATTGCTCGGGAGAAGTGTGTTTCGGCGTCTCGCCGCAGCGGGGCGCCCGTTACATGTCTCTCCTCTCATACGTTGTCTGCCGCTCTACCTTTTCCCTTACAACGGCCTCGTCTTGTGGCGATCTGTTAGGCTTTGTCAGTATAGAGGAGGCTACGCTTAAACCTAGAAACACGTCCAAATTAAGTGTTAAAGCAGGTAGGCAGGGGAGCAGGTTAAGGATAGACATGGCAACAGTTTGGTGTCCGTTCGTCCTTTTTTTCCCCTCGCTCCAGGGTTACCATTTAAATTAAGAATTAAGCGTTTTTTTTAAGACCGTAATGTTGCATTTAGCTGCCTTTTGTATTTGTAAAATAAGTTGATTTAGTGTGTTTCGATGATCATCACCAAGATTTTTTTATTGAAACCATTTGTATATATATTCACTCATTAAAAATACTTCCCGAAAGTAATTAATAAACTAATTATACCGAACGTTATTAATTATCCCGAATGGGCCGTTTGGTAGAGACCAGTACGACATTAACCTTTTCTCAATGTGATGCGTACGTTTGGCCGGGAACGATTTGGCTCACGTTTCAAGAAACACCCTGTATAGGCAGGTAAGGGAAGTGGACACGTTTTTTTTCTCTTACCTTAACGAAATGCAATTTTAGAACATATTACTATGTTTGTGCACACGTTTATTTTCTTTTCTCTTCTTTCTAAGAGTAGTTTTTTTGTTTTTGTTTTTAATTACACGACCATGACTCGCACGATTCCGCGTGTGTAAACACTGTCAGAATAGAAAGGAGCCATGTGAACTGAATCGCAAAATAGCTTCCCGAATTAAATATAAAACCGCGGTTGGAATTGCGCGCCGTAATGTTGCAACGGATTGACCACAACTGACGGGTTTCCTCACACCCCACACTGCTCTTATAAGAGGTGGTCTCATTGTCAAAATAAAATGCACGCCCCGTCGTCCACTAGTAGTCGACCACTTCAAAAGTGGTTCAACGAACTGGTCAACCACAGCAAGGCCACTAGTCAATCACTTGCCTCCACACCCTTTACCCGCGTAGGTAACAAAACGTCGATTCATTGATGATTCAGTCATCATCATTTTAATCATCTGGACTTACCCCGCCTTTCGAATATTTTTATCTTTAATGGCGTCTTTGAGAGATGAACATTTATTTTGCTTTTAGGCGTACATTATCAACGTTCGACGTGCTTTTGCATCCGCTGCCAAATTACGAATACGTACATATTGCTGCATTTGAGCGCCTTGCAGAACATGAAAAAAAAGATATTACGTAACATTGAGGCACGCCATAGTGCTCGGCGGGACATGCAACCTCCCTGAAATTTTCCGCACATAACGCGGAGTTTGTAGGATAGCAGCGCCGCCGAAACAGACTGACAACACCACCAGATATTTGGGTGTATTGCGACGACTAAAGTAAAGAAAATATAGTGCTTTGGAGTTCTCAAGACTTATCTGCTAGCATAACAAATGCAGTAATTAAATAGAAAAGGTTTTATCGAAAAGGAGGTTTCTTTACACGTTTGGGTCAACTCTGGAGCATAAGCAGGCATTTATTTATTCATTTACTTATTTATTTCACTTCTTTAGTTTTAATACTATCGATCCTATACAGGACCAAGATAGGAGTCATATTACACAATCGCAGAGAATCACGCGCACAAAATACACACATCAATAATACAAATGTACAATACAGCAGTGAATCAATCGGGTACAGCTGGCATAAATGTCTGAGATAAGGGGAACTTATTTCATTCCAACTTCTAGCGGTCACAACATACGCGGGGTGCTTGTTTCATTTTCTTGATGTTTAAAAAAAAATAGTTCTTGAAACAAATTTTAGAAAACTTTTGTTCTTCAACATATCTAGTATGCTTCTCGCGGGTGATACGCGACATGCTTTCATTTAAATACTGTTGTTTATTTAGAAGAACGAGGTTATTCGTTAGGTTGTAAAAAAGATTACGATAAGATGTTTATTCTTTCATCTAATGCTAAGGAGGGGTAGATTCGTTCTGCCATAAAAAGGTGACACAGAGGCTAGACTTCTGTAACAAGAGTAGGTAAAACGCAACGCGCGTCGTTGCACCTGCTCCAAATTTGAAACTAGATATTTAGTATGCGAGTTCCAGACTTCGCAGCGTACTCAAGTAAAGGCCGTAGTAGCATCTTGTATGCCGTCCTCGTTCTTTCTGACGAAGCACGTTTCTGAGAGCTTCGAATGTAGCCGAGTCTTTTGTTAGCTTTTGCAGCTGTGTTGTTTATGTGCGGGGTCCAACTTAGATTTGGAGTTATAGCATCTTATATTGTAAATGTCGACCACTCCAATGTAATTTGTTTTGTTGTGTCCCAACTGAATTTTTTTTTTTTTGTGGCGCATACACATTTTTTTTTTTGCCTGGTTCAGTGTCATTTCAGACTGTATCAACCGGTGCCCTGCCATGCGAACGATAACAGGCTTATCGTGACTGATCCCGACAGGCCCATCGCATTTCGGCCGACCGATTCCAAGTAAGCTTCATTAGATCCGACTTCACTTTTTTTTTTTCCTCCGGGTGTATCACCTCTGGTAGTATCACTCAGCGAACTAAGGCCACAATATTCGGAGGCAGAGGACAAACAGTGCTCTTAAGTGGAGGAATCCCGGGTAGGCCGCCTTTGTTTCACTTTTTTTAGATGTATTGCACTCTCGTGTCTATCTCGGTGGCAGCCACACTACCACTATCTCCATTCTGTCAGCACTCGTTCACCTTCAAAACTGCATTACAGAATGTTTATGTCGTAAGTGTGCACAGCAGTATCGTTGCTATATTTGCACAAGATATAGCGCAGAACAAATATACAAAAAAAAGTCTGAGTGCCTGCTGCAATGCCTTTGACATGGCTACACAGATGCCGTAGTATATGGCGGGCGATTTTATAGACTGCGTATTTTCAAGACCAGTTGCACTATTTCGTATGACCAGCAATGATTAGCTAAATTACTACCGAACTGCTTTCTCTTTTTATCCTTGGCCAGTCGTGATTGGCAAATAGGATTTGACAACAACAGCGCGCGATGGTAAGTCCTTACGCTAAATCGGAACAAAAAGCTAAAAACAAAACATTCCTGTTTTCAGTCGGTAGACATTAAACACCTTGGGAGATACCGTATATTTCATGCGGAACAGACAACCAAGGTCCTGATGTCTACTCTTTACGCTGCAGATGCCTAAACAAACGCCTCCACGCCCCGAAGGTGGTCCTATAAAAAAAAAAAAAAGCTTGCCTTGACGCAGTGCATTATTTCATTATATCTTTAAAGATAAAAGTGGGCAAGTAGGTGATGTCATTCAATGCGCTGTATTTGCAAGATGGCTGGTGATGTTAAATTTAGGCCCGCAGTGCCCTAAGAGGCAGCTAACGACTCGCGCATACTTTAAAGCTCAGCGTAATAAAGCAATCATATTTTTTAAGATTTAAATCAGATTAATTTTAATGATATTAGATTTACTTGATTTATATCAATGTAGCTAAATTTTTCGGACTCTAACACTGCGTGTATTTTTAAACATGACAGACGGACCTATCAATCGTCCGACTACTGATAACATTGCGGAAAAAAGAATTTCTTTAATTTAAAGTACAGTTTAATTAAGGACTTTGTATGTATGAAACCTTAGCTATGGTAAAAAAAAACAGCTTCATTATGTTTAATTATCTAGAAAGTCTTACTTGCTTTTTTTATTGCATTTTGATTGGCTAGCGACGGGACAAGACCTTTTTAGACTTTTGTTTCTTCACTTCAAGTTCTTATTTGTTAAATTAAGACGTTATGAAACTAATGAACGAAACGGAAAGTTGAAAGAAAGCTCTATGATCCGATTTGGTCAGAATAGGAACGGTCTTTGTTCGTGTTTACCCTCATGTAAACCTCTGCGGTTTGATGCTTTTTTTTTTTTAAATACGAAACTGATGCCATAGAAAGCATCAAACGATATCCAAACGGTAAAAAAAAATATTTTGATAAGTTTCTTTCTGAAAAGTTTTGAGTTCAATTATTCCAATAAAACGGGCCTAATAAAAAAAAAAGATTGAATTGACGATTTAAATTATGATTTAAATCATGTTGGTTTTTATTCTATACCCTGCCTTCAATCCCTCGCTCAGTGATGCCTTCGCTCCTTTCTCTTCACATGCCCCTGCAGAGAGGTAGGTTTTGTAATGCTCAGGCTTCGAAGTCAAGCTTTATGTTGTTTTAATATTGGTTCTCAGAAGACAGTCGCGCCTGAAACGAATGCCGTAATAAATATTGCGGTTTCCCGTTTTGTTTTTATCCTGGCAAAAATTCCACACAAATTACGACAAAACAACCACGTGGACGTCTCGGACCTAAAAAGTACCTAACACTCTGTAATTCGTTCGACCTGGATACAAACAGCGACACTAATATCCTGCATGTTCTAACGCTGAAACGAGCTCTCCTGGCCAAACTGTCGTAGGAAGAAAAGTACTTTGCTAGGACAGTAAGAGCGTAATGTAGAGTAGCGGCATGTTACAAAGAAGGTGCAGCACCATAAGTCGTACTCGAGCCAAAGACATGATTTCCTTACGACTTAATATTGAAACAACTTTATCACCATGGCAAACCCGTGATATACTGTACCTTTTCGTTTTTCTAGAGTCTCTTGAGGTAGTACAACTATTGCTTAAACTATTTAGGTTCAACATGTGTTCCCACCTGTGTGGATCCCGATGCGTAGCTTAAGCTGTTCCAGGGGCCGATGACGTATGCTAAAACAGCGTACAGCTCGCAGCAATGCCAGAGACATGCGGGCGATCTCTCGAGCATGCAGCATTCCGTTGCGTACCGGAAGTCCTGACGACACCATGTACGCGTCGCCGATCGTCTCCACCTGCAAAAAAAGGCGTGCGCAATGGTTACAGTCTTATATGGTCGTCAATATAAGCATCTCAACATTCTTTGTTTGGCAGAGCCCGTTCCAACCAAATTCTAGAACACTGATAAGCGAAAGCATGCCTTATGAATCTGTCGACCTGAAAATACCGATTTAACTGACGGAAATGCTGTGTAATTGAGTTAACCATCCTGCCGCAGTTTCACGAGCCTAATGTCCTCTTTCAACATGTAGTGAACTCCGGTCGTCCGTGTTGCATACGTTATCACATGATTCTCAATGCTTTAAAAACCACAACACTCCTTCATAACACTGTCGATTCCCATCATTCTGCTACGTAATTGGAACGTTAATCGACCTAAGTCATGTAGCCTAGTATTCATTGATCCTTCTTCAACTACACCTCTGGAGGTGTTAATGATGAGAACCACCCCCTTTATTTCAGACGAGATATTTTTTATATAAACGTTCCCTTCTGTAGGTAATATCTAGAACCTCGCAGAACCTGTTCTTGCCAACATCATACTCGGCTTCATGCAGAGTGTGCAACACTGTCAAATCAGCTAGCGTTAATACGTTACGCCACATATCCATTCTCTTGGATGCGGGATCGCACGGGAAAATAAAGCAACAGATTCACACTAGCGTTTATAACAAAGTTGTACTGAACCGGAGGCCACTTCGAAATCGCTGGAAAATTCTAAGACCGAAACACTCGCCCGGCGAGGCGATATGATCGGCGATTTTCGTCATCATGCGGTGACAAACTTCGCAATAAAAAGAGTCTAATCGAATGGCTCTTGAAATTTTTTTCCGGCATTTGGGCTTTTCATACGTTATGACGACAACTGCGTCTGCACTGTAGATGCGTGCGTCTTGTATGAAGCACAAGAAAGACAGGTTCGTGCTTCAGCGGTCTAAACTAGGGCGGGTGCTCGCCAAAATAATGCAGCTAAGGCACTGGGGCGCACGAATGGTGCGCAAGAACGTGCCATGCGGGTCAGCCGTAATTTACAAATATATTTTCCTTAAAACATTTTGGTGATGTTTATTTTTTTTTTCAGTTTTACACGTTTAGTCATGCAAGACTTAAAAACAAATAAAAACCCGTAGATATTGTTCTGTTTTCTACGAAGAATTAAAGTGTTATATAAATTACTTTTTTTACCGATATCGCCCGCAGAATCAACAAATAAAAGGGACGTGCGAGAAATGTTTCAACCTTCAATACAGTAAATATATTCTAAGCCACAAACAGCCATTCAAAAAACAATTCTGAAGCTTTACAGAAAACGGATATTCCTTTAAATAAATGTACCTAAAATTAGGAACGGGGCCTGCTGTATCCATGATGCCTTCGTGAGAATTTAAGCGGAAGGAAAGTTTGAGAGGACACATAATTTCCTGAAAGATTCTTTAGCTCACCTTGTAAACATCATAGTTCTCGATGATGGAATCAAAGCAGGTGTACAGGTCGTTCAATAAATCGACGACCTTCAACGAAAGAGGGCGAGCAAAAAGGAATCAGAGCAACTCATGTAATTACTCGGAATGGTGGACCATCATTATGGCCCCACGATGCAGTAAGAGGTAAAGAGGAAAACGATTTCCTAGATGGTTCCACTCTCGGGAACATTTAGAAGAATCGAATTGCGCTCAATCGTTAAATAAAAGAGATAAATGAGCTATCTTGTTGCAATCTCGACTGAGGAAAAGTTTCTAGCTGCGGCAAGATTGAAAGTAATCTGTGTTATTTGTTGGTAGTTTGCCTCCCCCCCCCCCCCCCCCTTCACGAGACAATTCTTCGCCTGGAAACGAGAAAGAAAGTTATAAAAATGTAAACAACCGAAAAGAATCTCCCTTTTTTTTCTGAAAAACTACTAGTCCAAAAATTACTTATATTTCTCTTATATTTTTGTTCTACGTGACGTCTTTTTTTCTTTGAAACCTTAAACATTGTTTACGTACTTCCTTCGCAGCAACTTTTCAGGGAGCGTACGGTTAAGCAAAAAAAAAAATATTTTATTTATCTTGGCACGTGAGGCACTCAAAACCGTTTATCATATGATGGCTTCATATTTAAATAATAAAAAAATAATCCGAATTGCCGAATACATAATATACCTTAATATATAATTAAAGTCTCGCAAGTCTATTAAAAAGACTGGGCTTTAAGATTTCCACGATTCAGCTCAAATTAATTTTTGTATGTTATGCGACAGAAGCTTCTCTTAGATAGAGGACTGCTCAAAAGTCAATCATAATTCCGAGAATATAAATGCCGTATGGGCAAAATTTCGTGTGCTGACAGGTATATTTTTCTTCTGTTTGGCAGTGTTCTTTTGTAGGTACTTACTTTTTTTTCTCTTATAAGTTCGCTCTTACTTAATATCAAGTTCGAATTTCGAAAAAAGTGGTATTTTTAAAGTGGTACGTTTAAGTGGTACGTTTGAGGTGGTACGTTTAAGAAAAAACGTACCACTTTAAACGTACCACTTTAAAGTGGTACGTTTAAGAAAAAAGTGGTACGTTTAAGAAACTAGAATACTGGCATGATATTTTGCAACCCCCAGTGAACATACGCACAACCGAATACTTAAAAAAGTCCCCATAGCAGTAAAACAAAACTAGATAAAATGTGTGGTTCTGAAGCAAGATGCCTCATGGACAGTTCATTGACGGCTGTATTCTAGGTCAACATAAAATAGAGCAGTAGATAATTTTTTTTTCTTCGCGTGAAGCGTGGCTATTCAAGGGCAGCTTTAATTTGAGGTTTCTCGGTTTTCCCCCAATTTCGGTAAAACCGTCTCGAGGGTTAGCTTTGGAGGTTTATCTATACCATGCGAGACCACAGAACCCTATTTATGAGTCACCATGTAAAGTTGTAATTAGGCCCTTTTCAAATTTCCACCGAGCAGAGTGGAGAATAAAAATCAAGGTGATTTATATCTTCGTAGGAATCATGATTTCTATCAAGATGATTTAAATCTTTATTTAAATCATGACTTAAATCGTGTATTAAGTCATGCAAGACTCACTACGATTTAAATCAAACTTTGCCCGCAAAAATAATACCGATGGAGTTTTTTTTTTTCGGCGTGTGCTAATCATATCACGCTTTGTGTGGCAATTTGTTTCGTACATAAATAATAAATAATCATGAATAATGAATAAACAAAAATGATGAATAATATTGAATAATTAAGCGAACACCGGCAAAAAGCGGTGCTTCTCTGAGCCAATAAAAAAGTTACACTTTTTTATCTACGTTCCGCTTTGTTGGTTAGCTACGCCATGCGCTATTGCGATGGAATTATAACGCAAAATAAAATGGAAATAAAGCTTTTGTTCTAGCATGACGGGACTTACAAGAAGGAAGGGTCGGTAATTCGACCTTGCTTTAAATTTCCAGATATTCGTTTGTTCCGTTTTGTTTTCAGTGATTGGACGGATGTACTAAATAATCTGTCATGTTTAAAGACCATATATATTGAAGACTCACTATTTGCTAGCTGCTGCGATTCAAAATCAAATTGATCTAATTTCAAGTAAGAAAATCGTTTTTTATCCCTATTTTTCTAACCCTGTCATTAAGTAATAATGATAGTCGTAATTTTTTGGGCACGAAGCGCGTGATCGAATCTGAGCCCTGGCCGAACGCTGACGGAGTCTTCGTATGAAATACATGCTCATACACTCGGTTCACCCTTAAGCTGGGACAGCAGTCAATGGTACAAGCACGAGTGCTCGAGGTCGCTGCCCTGAAGCGTTCTTCCGTATAACGAGCACTCGCGCTAAGATGCTTGTCTCAAAACCAGGAGCGCGTGCTAGCTTACGCTCGTAGTTTTGGGCTGCAGTCTCAACTTAAGGGTGAACGGAGTATGGTACGTCATCACCCAAGCAGCACGGATTTTGGCCGTGCATTGGCTAACGGCTGGAGATGGTCTTTTGGCCAATGGACAAAGAGTGGCCATTCGTCGGCCAATGCTTGGCCGATGGCTGATAGCCAGTGGCCAATGGCCAATGGCCAGAGAAAAGCCAGTCATCGGCCAATGGCTGGCCAATATCTGGCAACTGGCCAAACGATTATTTTCAGCCAATGGCCAATGATTGGCGAAATCTCAATGGGGGAATGGTAGTGGCGCGTACTTTTGAAAGGGTACATTTAACAGATTTAGCGCAACTGCCAGCTGCGATTAAAAAAGAGAAAAGCTATGGTTTTGTAGCCATGATAATGCGAAAACGCATCAATGCAAATAGGGTCATTTAAACTGACGCGTTCGATAGTAATTTTCCAAGATATTCGTATATAATCACTTGACTATGAAAGCTTACTCGGGAACGGTAAATTGAAATTACTAGGACGAGGCAAACGGCATCAGCAAGTTCTAAAATTACACCAAAACTGCAACGGTTCGTCGCCCGCCTTAGAATCGGGAAATACAAGTGATTCATTAAGTGTGTTAGTAAAGTTCGAGCGCTGCACCATTTGCGGATATCGAAAGACAGGGGTGATAATTAATTCATTTTATCACGTCATACAAAACTCATGTTATATTGAAGTTACATCAACTCCTTCAATGAACTCTCAAGATGAGTTGCTAACCTAATAAATTTGTTGAAATGTACAGTTTCTAATGGTAAGCGTAGGAAGATAAGGTTGACAAACCCCGTCACTAATATATAGAACAAGCGGTTGATTGCCGATCTAAAACGACGAGTCGTATAGAAAACACTCACAGCCAAAGGAACGGAGATAACGTGGTATAGCTCCCTTTTTGTAGTAAAACAGGTATGGCAGGTAATACTATATGAACCGGTTTCTGTCTAAAGGCTGCAGCATAAATGCTTTTTTTTTGGGGGGACAAATTGGTTTACACTTTGACTATAAGATACTGTGAATGACTTAGTTTTCGCAAGGACGTAGTTTTCGCGAATTTCGCGAATCGCATACAATTCGCGAAATATAGGTCCCGCGAACAATTCTGGTAAAATGTAAACACATTGGAATCTATAGTGCGATCCCACAGCGTCGCGAAAATTAGAACCCGCGAATCATTCCAAAACTTCAGCTTGGACCTAAATCGCGAAATGCTGAGCACGCGAAAAATAAGACGTTTACAGTATACATAAAGGTTGCTTAAACCTATCTTTGTCGTAAATTGGTTTCTCTTTTTGTACTACGTTCAGTAGTCGACCATACTGAGCCCAAGCTCGTAACTCTGCGAAAAAAAAAAAGAAGTTTTTTTTTTAAGGCTACAAGCTTCGCAGCTCCTAGTTATTGCGAAAAAAAGTCACAAGCAAACATACTAGGCTATATAATGTACATTAGGAGCAGGGTAAGGGCTCGACGTCAGTATTACAATAAATCAACCGGATCCCGTTCTCCCGACATGGAAAAAAGTAAATGAACAATAGAGCTACTCTCTTTCACAAAGTGGTTAATTAGTATAATATACGACGTCAAAGGCAGAAAACTGTAGCCTCCGTTAGGAGGTTTCCGATAGCATAGATGGTCGCACGTACCTGCATTGGTGTGCTCTGGGCCGACAACGACGTGAAGCCCACAATATCACTGAAGTAGATTGTAACGCTGTCGTATGACTCTGCGGTCACCGACTGACCTTTGATCAGCTGGCTTGCAACGGATCTGAAAATAAAACCGAATTTCACTTTACACATGGGTGCCAAATTAGGCTAGTTTTTACCTAGAATTAACTTTCTGGGGCCTTTCAGAGGCTGTTTGTGTATTATATTTATTTCAAAGGTAAATTCTTTGCGCTCTTCCCTGTTTATCAAAGCCTTCTGTGTCCGCTTAAAAGCTGCAAAAATTGCTGTATAATTGTTTTATGATGTGTACCGAGTGTTGTATCTTGTCTAACATCCTCCTCATTCAAAACTATAGATGCGGCTGAGGCGCAGCAAGGGAGCGCGGGTCTTATTTTAAAATATCAAAAGCCGTACAATTGCTGACACACAACATTACAGTCCCTATATTCACGTGCACATCTTTCCAGGACACGCTTAGGGTGAGATAGGAAACCGAGATCTTAACAGTATTCCTTCAGGCCATAGCCTTCTCTATGCTCACAAAGCCGACAGTTCGACGACGGAGCCTTATAGAGTGCCCTGTAGCAGAATTTGAGCGCGAGTTTGTGGTAGCACAGAGCATCAAAGAGCCATTTCTCAGGGAATCTGGACGTCAGCACACAGCTTTTGCAGCGGCGACGACCTGAAACATACTTGTTCGCTAGGGAGGAGTGTGTTTCGGCGTTTCGCCGCAGCGGGGCGCAAGTCACGTGGCTTTCCCCTCCTAAGGTGTCTGCCGCTCCACATTTTTCATTTAAGCGGCCGCTTCTCGTGGCGATCTGCCAGGCTTTGTCAGTATATGGGAGGCTATGGTCAAGTTTATCCACAATATGCAACAAAAAGAGTGGAATATAATAGCGAGATCGGGCCCCGTTTTCATCATCTTCCCATTAGCCGTGCAAGCTTGCCAGCGTGTCTGGCTCGCAACCGAAGGGTCGTGCGTTCGAATCCCGCCAAAATTCTTCAGATGCATCTTTAGGACAAATTAATTACTTTACTAAGTGAAATCATTTAATACAGGTAGCGACTTTTAATTGGCATTACATGTCATGTTTTAATCACTTTCATTCCACGCGTGATATTTCGTTTCACGTGAGCGTGAAATTTCCGCGCGAGGTCATCTGGCTGTGACGTCATGAACCTATCACTTAATCAAGATTTTTTCGTCACACCACAGACAGCGGCTTTTCTGCGACACGAGCTTCTTAAGGTAAACCTTATTATAGATTAGAAAGTCACACAAAACACAACTCCGTCAAAACTGGCGAGAAAACAAAATCTCAAAACTGAACCTTATTAGAGACCACCTATCCATTTGACTAACACTCATCGAAGCTTTTTGTTGAAATATTTGTATCTAAAAAGACTTAGGCATAACAGCGCTTTTTTAACCTTTCTTCCCAGCCCCAAAACTCAACCTTTTAAAGCCACCTTTTTCTTATGTTTCCCGGAGACAAGCCACTGCGTGGCATAGAAAACAGTTGATACATTCATTTCTTCGGCTCAAACCTTATACTTCTATCCTTTTTTTTTTCTCTGTTCTTGAAGATTTCATTTTGTATTTTTTCTCACGTCCTTAGTTCACGTAAGGGTGATCGGAAAGTGCGCTGCAATATGGGCGTGCCGACGCGAAGTATAGTAGTAAACACACACGTCCATAACGCGGGAGATTCTGGCTATTCGGCGAACATTTGACTGATGGCATTCACGGCAAATAACCTAGTCACGTGGGGTAACACTGAACGGCGCGCTCTAGAGGTGCCCTGCCCGCTTCATCGGGGGCCCACGGGGCCGGCGAACGCTGGAGGCTGCTATCACGCTCTTCGCAAACGTCATCAAGCTTTATTAATAGAAAACAAGGAATAAAACCGGAGGTTTCCGGACAATGTCACCATCAAGAAAAAAGCAAACTGAGCACAAAATCGCGCAGCCGATATACGGACCAAAACAGGCGCGAAACGTGAGAGCAGCCTCCCGCGTTAGCGGCCCCCGATGGAGCGGGCAGGGGAGCGGCTTGTTCCATGTTGCCCCACCTAACTAAATTAGTGTCCGCGAATGACACCAGTCGAGCGCTCACCGGAGAACGCCACTCGACCCGCGTTAGGGACAAGCGGGATTACCACTCTATGGAAGCGAAGGTCCACGTTGCCATATTACAGCTGATGAATTCGCATCTTAGAGGAGGTTGTGACCGGAGCATAACTACACTTAGAGAATCGTCCAGGTAGCTGAAGAACACCTAGGTTTGACTTGAGTTTCTTGACAACTGCAACTCGTCATGCAGTTTCCTTCAGATGATTCCAATGTACTACCGTTACATCACACGCTGCAAAGGTGTATATCGGGCACGTTGAATAACACGTGAAAATATTTGTTATGTACAGAAAATCAATTACAGATTTTTTTTAAAAACGATAGCATTTTTATGGCCACAAAACCAAGAGATTGTGTGCGTCCGCCGGTAAGCGCCTTGATGGCCAAATTTGGTGAAAAATGGTTTCCGATCAATTTTGCGGAAGCTTTCCTAAATGTATTGTGAAAACTTAAATTGGTGTATAAACCATGCAGCCTGACGTTACACGACACCTGGATGCCACGTGACTCGGTGTCACATGACGTCACAGCTACGCTCAATGACGCGACATCACGTGGCACTGACGTCACGGCATGTAACGCATTGAGACATGACTGACATCACAGGTGCAACATGACACGGTGACATCACGTGATACTGCGTCACATGACATGGCGTAATGCGAGAGTATGACATCACATGAAGGGGTGCCTTAATTGGTCGAAACCCATGGTTGTTGCAATTAGCGATGAGAGAGAGTAGGAATGAGAAGGAGAGTCAAGTATCAGTGAGAGTGTTTTGAAGGGAAATGGTTGTCTTCAGTTGTGCTTGTGCACTCGAGTAAGGACGAGAGCATGTGTGGCGGGGGAAGGGACGCCCCCACGTGTATCTGAAGTGCAGTAGGTAAAGGATCCTAAAGCGTTACATGTCCCTTGGTAACAGACAGAGAGAAGACGTAGCTTTTCAGTGTGTTGCTGGGCATAATAAGATATACCTCGAGTTTCTTTGTTGTTTTCTTTGTGTTATACCACTTGGGGAATTTCTTATTATCTGACACGAGAATAAAGTTTTGACCATGCCAGATGGCACACTCAGTTTTGAAGCGACGATAACCGAACCTGTGATGAGATGGGAAAGATAACCTCCCACCCTAAAACTGTAGGACTCTTCAAAATGAATTTAACTTTTTGTGCGATGTTATCGTGGCAATGCAGTAAAGCTCCGCGAAGAAGTCATAAAGTAACCAATAAAAAGCTACAAAAGGCGCCTGGGCTCTAGTGACCATGCGCCCGTTCACAGACAAGGAAATAATACGAGCGATTAATAACGCATTGTTGCTGCGTTTGATGCTGTGTAAAACACGTCGGGTCCGTCTAGCCGTCTAGCACTTTTGCAGATGACATCGTCCTGCCTGGGTCCAGCAGTAATCAAGGAGTCTTGAGCAGTCCACGCTTACAACTCAAAATCCAACAAAGGGCTTCACTTCGAAATGGTCCCAGGACCGCAGGCGCTCCCTCGGTTACATAAAATTGGCACCGCCGAGCTGCTCTTCCAACGAACAAACATACAAGCATTACAGAGTCGGCATGGTTCTTAACCTTAGACGGCTTAACGCACTTTTGATCCATTTGCTCTTGCCAAGGAATAAATCTTTACCTGCTTCGTTTTTTTTTTCATCCGCGTATGCTGAAAATAAGTTCTTTTGCCGTCTCCAGGACATGCAGCTGCAAAATTAGAAGCACATTTTTGCAGGTAGTATGCTTATTCAAGTGCAGGATACGTTGAAGATGAATCTTGGACAGAAACGATCCGGTAAATTTATTTTAGGGCATGCAATACCTGACACGAGATACCCATCTGTACCTGAAAATTCCAAATGAATGTTACCATACGCCTCCGATCAAGACGATGTCAGGTTCGCCGACCATTGCCTCACCGGACATGTGCGTAAAGACAGTTGATTATATCATAGTTTTAACCCAATAGTGTTAAGGAGCTCATGACGCGCCGGTCTCGGTGGCGTGCCAGAAAAGCAGTCTTGACGCGAATAACCCGAACGTGTTCAGGAACACGTGCCGCGCCCGCCTCGGTGGCGTGCCAAAAAACCTGACGTGACGCGAAAATCTATGCTTGGTCGATAGGGTCATTACGTCGCAGTCACATAACCTGGGCTCGTCTGTCTGGAGGAGCGCACAGTTTGCATCTGTCGCGAAGGAGCGGGAAGTTTCTGTCCGTCGCCGACTCCGCCCAGTGCCGCTGTGATCCTGCCACAATCGTTATTCTGAGGAGAACGCGTACACTGCCGCGGGGCCGCCGCCAGCCGCCGGGAGAGAACTCGTGTGCGATAGATGCGGTGCCGTCTACAGGTGCGGACGCACTAGAGGCAAAACGCGGCAGAACGCCGCGCGTGGCGTGCCAGCTTGCCGCGAGACCTGCTCCATGGCAGAATTTTTATCCCGCAAAACGAATGGGCTCCGACGCTATTTCTTAACGCGTGCCCCGCGCCGAGAGTGCCAGGAGAACAATCAGAAGCAACGCACTTAGTGACGTGCGATGGCGTGGCAACGATTTTCCTGCCGACCGAACGCTGTTTTTGAGTCGGCAGCCGCTATGAGCCTCGCTCAGGCACGGCCGGACTGGAAACGCGCGCTCTCTTTCTCTTCTTACGGCCTTTGCTATCGCCCAGGAGTCAATGGCGTATGTAGTTTTCTCCGTATGTAGTTCACTTGCTTGCCGCCAGGGGCGCAACCACCTAACCCCACTTCACGCCACTCGGAGAGTCCCTTCGAGCTGCTTTGCGCACGGCAAAGCCACACAAAGTCACTCAAAGCGCTCGGCTGGTTTAATTTTTAACAAGTTCCTCAGAATACTTCTGATTAACCATGCAAAGACAGTCACGGACAGAAACAAAAAATCAGCTGGACATGTGCACAAACCCTCGAGGAAGCACTTTAGGCTGTAATATGCACTGTGCGAAAATCGCACAGACTACTACCCCCCCGTCTACAGCAGCTAACTGACTTCATGTGCGGCCTATGAAATGATGATGCAGACCATGGCAATAGATAGGTTGGGCCTGCTTACATTTCACGCGAGTGTACGAATTATTTATCATTTAAAGTTCCTACACTAGAAGGGGTCCGTCTCCTCCTGTTCTTGAGTTGCAACAGAAGTCCCAGAGGTAAAAACGAGTATAGCTTTTCCACAATTGCATTCGCTGTCTCTACTTACTACGTTTTACTCACGAATCCCTCGGAGATGTGCGTCAAATATTCACCGTTTTGGGCCCATCAAAAGCGCATTAGAAGTGGCTGAGGGTCTGAACGTAAGGATCAGGAGTCAAAAGCTATAAAAATCTCGGCCCCAAGTTGCGACAGCGCTGAGATACACTGTCAGACGCGTTCTGTGTAAACGGCAAAGGGTAGCCCGGTGAGGTGACAGCGCCCCCCCCCCCCCCCCCCCCCCGCGAATTGTGGCGGGAGGTTGCGATTGCCCCAATTGAAAAGGCCGTAAGAAAAGAAAGAGAGCGCGCGCTTCCAGTCCGGCCGTGGCACAGGAAAGTCGAGTGATAGAGAGGCCTCTTGAGACTGTGGGTATTTTTCCTCTCCTTTACGACAAGACTCATCCCGAGTTTAAGGGCAAAGACGCAAAGCTTAACCGGTGTGCTATCACTGGCTCTGGCACGCAGTCAAGGCAGCACGGCACTCGCCTGCTTTTCAAAGTTCCGGTAGCACCAGGTCAGGCGTTCCCAAAATCTTCGTCTTCGATCCTTTTGCGTACGGCACCGTCGTAACTCCAGGGAGTACACGGCAATAATAACTTTTACGACCGTGAAGAAGTCGTTGTCTGGGTCAGCCATGAAAGGAAAGGATGACCGTAGCCACTGCAGCCGAAGGCCGAAGCAAAAAGCACGGAGAATCACGCAGGCGCTCGTTACCATCAAGAGAGCTCGAGATCTTCTGTGCTGTCACGTGACTGCAGCGGCGTCAAACTGCGGGTTGGTGCGGCTCTGCCACGCGGCGAGTGTGGCCGTACCTTACCAGTACGGGGAGCTATTTTTTAATCGTTGTCTTCTACAAGTGCGGATACCGCATTGACGTTTGCTCCTGCTCGGCGACGGGGTCGGCACGTAAGACCGAAGCCGAGAAGGCGGAGACGAAGGCTAAGTGTGCAGAGGCGATGCGCCATAAGCAGGCCAAGGATTCGATAACGCTATCGCATTCCACCCTTTTAGGCAAAGTTTAAGCGTCCTCCGATTATTTTTGATATAATAGATCATACACAGTTTTTTTTTAAATTTTATTTGGCACGTTTCATTTTGCCTTTTGCGTTATGCTTTTTCTTTAATTTGTCGCGCATGCTAATAATATTACCAAACCCGCGTAGTTCTTTTGGAATTATTTTTTTGTAAAAGGGTTCTAGGAATACATAAAAGAGACGCCGGCTCACTACGGACTTTCAATATTAATGTTAGGGTATAGCCTACTGGAAAAGAGCGAGAGTTTCGACTGATCCTAGGTTTCCGCGAAAGGCTGCAAAACTGGGCCTGAAATAACTTGACCTAACTGTTGGCGATGTGTATGTGGAATCCTCTGTAGTGCGCCGTCAAGGCGCTCGGAAGTGCGCCTCGACGGCGCACTTTCGAGTGCCACCGCTTACAGCATGAATTTCAATATGGTGCATGTTCGTTAAGTGCAAAAAGCTTAGTAAACCTGTGGACGCAGAGCACTACGTTCTCCGATATCGTGGAGCGAATGGTTGTGTGGAAGAACTGGAAGTGCCCTTAATATCGTTTTTGGTAGGCAAGTGCCTCCGAAAAATGGCATTTTTCTTAAGACTGCGAGTCTGCAGGCAGTGTTATGAACTCTGCCAGCTGAGCATACTCCAGTTAGTGGTTTTTATGTCATTGCAAGTTTCAAGATCGTCACTGAGAAGCATATGGGAAGATAAAGTGTACCTATTCTACTAACTTTCCCCGCCCCAAACAAAAAAAAAAAATAAATAAAAAAGAAAACAGATATTTATATATATATTTTAAATCCCGAGGAATACCCCGCCCCCGAAAGATAGCCCATCCTTATATTTTTTTTTATTTGCTATATTTTTTAAACACCGAAAGACAGCCCACTCCTAGTAATAGAAGTGTTGGGATCAATGATGGTCGCGGCGTAAATGCGGCTAGTTAGCTACGGCGGGAAATTAGCGAACGTTTCTGACTGGGTAGTAGAGTCATCTTTTCTTCGTTGCCCCTCGGCACCTTAACAAGCTTGGTCGGGGCACAACCTAAAAATCGCTATTTTTAAAACTTTTCTCTATTGTACACCAAAAGTTAGCCACTCCATATTTTCGCCCAATCTGCTCTTAATGTTAGGTGGGCTATTTTCGAGATATTACGATACGCATATGAACTCCATTTTTAAACCTGAAATTAAAATATGATAATAAAATCACCCTCCAAAAATTTAATTATCAAAATGTACTTAGCGAATAAACGCAATATTACGTATATCTTTAAAAACAATAAGAAGGTTCGTGATGACCAATGCGTTTGCAATGCGCAACCTATTTGGCCTTGTTTTTAATTTGAAAAGATTACAAGCCAAATCCTTCATACCTATATCAGAGGATGCGGAAGACAATGATATTGTTCTCACCTGGGCAGCAGTTGGTAGAGAAGGTCCTCTGCTTTCCGCTTCTCTTCGAGGTAACTGGCCGTCCGCTCCTCGACGAGTTTTTCCAGGTTGTTGGCGTACTGCTCCATCCGCGACAGCAGGTTATCCAAAATGTTTACGCCCTGCCGCTCCCTGCATCACACAAAGAGCAAACGTCATGGCCGGGTGTTCAGGCCGCAATGATGGGGGTCTTATTCCGCGGTCATGGGGGTAGAACATGCTAAACAGATCCACAACCACGACCCAGCCTGCTCAGCTCCAACCGGTTATTAGGTACCATGGTCATTCTGTCATTTAAGGCAAAAACGGGAAAGTGTAAGTTCTTTGTATATTTTGTTTTGTAATTTGAAATTTGTATAGCACAAAAATGAGCGCGATATATTCTTCCACAGTTTCGTTGTACAAGATACTGTAAATGCTCCGAAACACATTACCCGTTTAGTTGCTCGTAATAAAAATTCTTACTGACTTGCGAAAATGAGGAATAAGGGTAATGTGCTACAGCCAGCAATAGGCAAAGAAACGCTTCACTTTTTTATATCTTGAAATAATGGCAAGCAAATCCCTAGTATTTCTTTTTTTAAATTATATGTGCCAATGACCTGAACAGGAGTCATAGTTGTATGTATATCTGATTAAGAGAAATTCGCAACGTTTGATACTTCGAGTGGTCACGGCGTTTATTCGTCGGAAGTCAACGCAAAACCATCAGCGAACAGGTCGCCAAAATGCTGCAGGAAGGAGTAATCTGGGATTCCTCAAGCTCCTGGTCTTCGGCAGTCATCCTCGTACGCAAGCGCGACGGTTCGTGGAGGTTTTGCGTTGACTTCCGGCGAATAAACGACTTTTTCAGTTATGCGCCAGTCACCTAAGGAGCGGGAGTTGCGCTTTTTTGGGAGTAAAAGCATATATATATATATATATATATATATATATATATATATATATATATATATATATATATATATATATATATATATATACCATCAGCCGTCATAGCTTAAAGAAATATATTGTGCGTGGAAACTTCATTATGTATTCTTATCACTTTCATAATCCCATATAAATTTAGAGCAAAAGTTTCAACTCGACACTGATATCTCAAAGGAAAAGTTTAGCTTAAAACGGAATGGAAGACGCGGCTGACTTTGAGAGCCTGAGAATTCGAGGACAAACAAGAAAGCTTATAAAAACAACTTCGCCTTTAAAAAGGGAACGCGATAGCGTTGTCGAGCCCCTTTCGCATCGCCTTCTCGTTTGTTTCTCATGTTGTTTTTTTTTTCTGCTAGTGAGCAGGAAGTGCGGCGGACATGACCTGGTCAGTAGCTTGTCCAGCTCGCAACCGAAGGGTCGTGGGTTTGCATCCCGCCTAAAATGCTTCATTCTTCTCTAAGGCAAATGAATTACTTTATTAAGTAATATCATCTGAAACATGCGGCAACCCTTAACTAGCAATACATGTCACGTTTTAAATGACTTTCATTTCACTCATGACGTCACGTTTCACGTGAGCTTTGTGGGTCGTTCGAAATTCCCGCGGGAGGTCATGTTACTCTGTCGTCATTTCCGTATCTACCAATCAGGATTTTCCCGTCACAACGCCACCGACGCCGGCGTTTCTGCGACACAAGCTCCTTAACGCTGTCGGGTTAAAAACGCTTTAACGTAATCGCAAGATAATTTAGCTGAACCCGGAAGCTTAATAATTGGCAAATAAAAGCACTTAAAATCTCTTTCCTGGTATTCGTTTCCTCTAGAAGTATTTAAATGGTACTGCAGTCAATTTTTTTATTTACATATGTAGCGAAGGATTAAGCGTATACACTATAGTTTTTTTTTTAAACTAAACGACAATATGATTATTTATAGCCAAATGTTCCTGGAAGGCTCCAGCGAACTGCTTTGCGCTTGCTAAATTCGCTAGGTATTGCAAATATTGAGCAGTGGGGGTGTAGAAATTCAAGTGCTTATTTTATCAATTTTAGTAAACAAATTATTTTTATTGCTGTTCTTGAAATCTAGTCTACTGCTAACACTTGGTTTGATAATGTTTCTTTTGTTTTTACATACGACAGCCTCAGTGGGGCTATGACAAGAGGAGGAATTATATGCAGACAGTCAAGACATCCCAATCAACCACTATTAATAGCAAACAGAAATCCTTCTGGTTTTAGTTTCCGGACGTTTTTTCGTCACAAGTTCCAACGTTCAATGATGTGAGGAAAGAAACTGTATTCAAACATTTCGGTACAAGGATGAAACGCTAAAATATTTAAATCTTCCTGGCTCCTTGTTGAAGTTGGACTGAGAAATTTTCTGTAGATATCTAAAGAAGCAAAACATTATTAGTTAAGCATAAAATACAATGTCGTTAGGCCCTCGATATCCCGAAGCTCAAAAAGAAGAAATTAGGCCTAACACTGGGAGGTTAGAGAAAGGAAAGAAGTATTGGTCATACCGAAGACAAGTAAAACGTAGTAATTTCTTTTGAACTGATTCGACTTTATTCATGTCAGACTCTCTGTAGGGAAACCAAATTATAGAACCATAATCAAGGTTAAGGTTAATTAAAGCTTTAGAAGATAAAAGCTTGAGATCTTGTGGCGCCATAACCTAAGGCATGTCACAGGTATCCAAGCATCTTAAAGGATTTGTTATATCTCGTGTTAATGTCCTTTGACCAACATAAATCTGGCATGAAGAGAAGACCAAGGTATTTATATTCGGAAACTCTTTTAGGGATAAACCGTCGAAATATTAATTAAACACAGAGGCCGATGAACGCCTAGAAAAAGTATTAAAAACGGTTTTACGGAAGTTTAAGTTCATTTGTCAGGTTTTACACCATGTACACAAATTCTCAACTGGATTGTTAAGAATATTATGATCATGGGTAGAGTTGATTTTGTGGTATAATTCACAGTCGTCAGCGTAAAGTCATATCTTAGGGAACATATAACGTAGCAAATAACTAATCTGCAATAAAAGAGTAGTTATGATCGAAGAACCGATCCTTGCGGAACGCCGGATGACACAGCTACTGCCATTGGATTTGGAGGAGTTAAAACAGACAAACTGCGATCGAAAAGAGAGAAAACTGAATATCCCATTGACCAGGTAAATACTGTTTAATTATAGTTAAGCTTGCGTAGAGGTTTGAAATAAGGAATTCTGTCCAAAGCTTTAGAGCTATAAATATCGTTTAAACTGGGTTACCGATGTCAAGAGACTGACTGACATCATTAACAAATTCTGTTAGTTGTGTCGTAATACTACAACTGCGTCAAAATTCGTGTTGGAAATCGCATATAAAGTTGTTAGTTTCTAGAAACTCAAATATGACAGGCGTTTTTAACCTACCCCCAATTATAGGATTGTGCAGCTAATCTGCAAAGAAATAAGGCCCCAAGAACTTACTAGCGACGTCTTGTCCTCAATGAAAACAAAGGCGCAAAGTTGGGTATAGGAAAGGCTCAACCTCTTCTCAATACCTGCCCGAAATGCCCACTTTGGTTAAGGTACAGAAAAAAATGAAGTTAGGCTGCCATTTAATATATGGCGACCTCTGCGTCACCTGTAGTTGAACACGTTTGTCGTCGCAATGAGACCCGCTAACGACGCGGGGCGTGCAAAGTGTAATCGAAACTACCTGGGCGCACGCCGGTGCGAAGGAACCGACGAGGGCAGAAATTGAGCTCATAATGCCGCGGTCTACGGCACGCGCCTTCGAGTCAGGTGCCGCCGAACTGCGGTGCATTAGCAAACTCAGCCACCGCAACCAGGAAACTTTCCACGCTTCTCGAAATTGCAAACTGGAGGACGCTAAGTCACTAATGCAACAGATGCTAATCATTCAGCCAGGATCCCTGTACACCATAAACCAGTAATTTGCAACAATATTTTATCAATAGGCCGCCATGTATTGATTTATTTATACATTTAGTTTTTGTTTTGATTTACGAGAACCTTCCGGGCCCCAAGAGACATTACATAAAGCGGACAGCTTTGTACGAAATGCCCGTCATTTGCATGATGGAGCGATTCCCGTATCATGCAAATAACTTTGGACACTTTCCGCCCGTCAATTAACTTATATCCGACAACACACCACTTGCGAATCTTTTCGGCTAATTTCGCAACATCGTGGATGCTGGCGCGTGCCTGATATTTCGGTCCGGTGCAGGCGCGGTCGTGTATAACTTAGCGCGAAAACCGAGGCCACTTTCTATCGCTGTGTAATTAAAAGTCCATTAAAGTTTTGAAAGATGGCGAAGAGCACTGTTAAAATCGCATAGCTGCTCGACTCGACCACATGTTTGTCTTTATTGAGTTCGTTAAAATATGCAAAATATAAAGACTAAACAGAAACCAGTCTCGGTTTCTTCTGCCGCATTACCGAAGTTTGCATCGAAGTATCAATGTTTTTCCTCACGCAATTACGCCAACACTAGCTGTGGTGTCGATCCATATCCGAACCCCAATTTCTGTGCTTATTCGAACACCACATTAGCGTAAGTACTGCGACAGATTCGCGCTACTGCGTCAAGTTGTTTCCTTTGGCTGCGGCAGGCCGCTCTTTCAGATATTGCCTCGGGCCGAAAGCCGCGCAGCTGATCGATGAGCTGTCTTTATATTTTTTTAAAGCGCAGCTCTTAGGCGCCCGTTTCCGGGTTGAGTGGCGTCGGCATCGCCTCGTCATCGCCGTCGTCGTCGGCGTCGGCGTCGCTAAATTTAGCGGCGAAATTTAACGGCTAAATATAGCGGGAAAATTTCCCCGCTAACCTTAGCTGGGAAATTTTTCCCCTAAATTTAGCGGGTAAATTTTTCGGCTAAATTTATCGGGGACATTTTCCCACTAAATTTAGCGGGGACATGTTTCCGCTACGTGTAGCGGGAAAGTTTCCCCGCTAACTTTAGCGGGCTAAAGTTCTCCGCTAAATTTTGCGGAGAAATCGATGTTACGTGACCTCAACGCCAATTCAGTTTCCGGCTAAATTTAGCGGGGAAAATGGCGCCACGACTTCATGTCACGTCACCCATGAACAAATTCAGCGCCAGGAGGAAAGGAGGAGAAGGAGAAGGGGAGGAGGAGAAGGGGAGGATGTGGGGAGGAGGTTTGGAGGGAAGGAGGGGAGGGTACGGAGGAGGAGGAGGGGCATACTCTCCCCTCCGTACTCTCCCCTCCTCCTCCTCAAAAGGTGCGCTCTAATTTCTCAATACAGAAATTTAAAAATGTCTTATTTTTTTTTTAATCTTTTTTCGCCCGAGACAGAGGAGTTACCAAGACATGCTGTGGTTTAATTGTCTAAGCATTCGAGAGGATGGCGGCAGCGTCGTCTTTGAATCTTTATTTTATTCATGCCTGCTTTCCCCAGAACTGGATCTGAGCTCATGTAATACGGAGGGCACGCTTTATCTAAGGGATGGAGTTTGTCATATGACGTTCGCAGCTAGATAACCCATATCGCCCAAGTGTAACGGCGCTTGCGATATCTTACGTACTGCAATGCTTTCTAGAGTGGGGAAACTATGACAGGTAAATATTATGCCTGTTGCTTTATGCGCATAAAAAAAGATACAGAACCCAAAATAAATTTTTCTTCTTGACCTAGTCACATTTCGCAAACTATCTCTGAACAACCTTGTCTGTGGAGTGATCAAAATAGATATGAGTGAAATCGTTGTATTGATCTTACAGACCGGCAGAAATGTCTTAAATGAATAATTGACCCTTTCCGAAATTCAGTGCCAACTGGAGGCTGGAGCAGTTTAGGTTTTTTCATACCAATGGTGGAAATGAACTTCTATTTTATTGGGCAACACCACTTTCGGAAGTCAACGGCAGGCGAGGAATTGTTCAATGTGTAGTTCTTTCTTTATCACTTTCAGTTTGATGGTGACAAAGAACCCGTAGTAAGAACAAAGCTCCAACCTACACAGACGCCTCGATAAAACTCCATGCACCAATGAGATTTAGAACAGATTGTGTGTCACCTACAGATTTACTCAATCTCAGTTAGAAATGAAGGCTTACATAGCTTTTGTGCTTCATTCCTACGTCGCATCGTACTAACCCCCAAATGTGCAGGCTTTGCACCATCCGCTTAGGAGCATCTTCAACGTCTTTCTTTATCAGTCACTAGAAGGTCGCCTTTGGTACGGCACGGCTGCCGTTCCACAGATGATGATAGTGATCAACGTGGCCAGACTCATTTTAGGAAAGGGCCTATTCCTGTAAAAATATTTTAGAAGACACCGTATACGCGCTCTATCTTATCTGGATGTCTTCACACTCTCAGTCATCTTTTAAACAAAAACACAAAACTGCTCCTAAGAGAAGATATGTATACTTCATCTTACCTTAGCATGGACTAACTGCGAAGGCCACACGCATGTACTTGAATTTTTTTTAACAAAACAGCGTAAATATGCGCATCAGAAATAACCAATCGAACACATTTGGACCAGTAGCAAGGCCTTAGGATCTTCCACAGAAGAGGTGTAAGAAGCATGTGTCTGTTCATGCTGGTAATGTTGGCGGTCACGAAAGAGCGTACGGCTTACTTGTTGAACCTCCGAATAAGAGGCTTGAGAGAGTGAAAGTCCGGTCTTTCAGCTGGATCTTCGGACCAACATCTGCGAATCATTTGAGCTACTTCCTCGCTGCAGCAGTCTTCTTCGAGAAGAGGTCGGAATGGAACCTTGTGCTCCTTCCGGACATTTTCAACAATTTCTGAAATCAAGAAAATAAAAAAAAAAATAGTGCTTTTAATACATTCAAGGCTAAAATGTGCAAAGCAGTGCCTTGAAGATAAGTGCATGAGTGGGGCAGATATCTCTGATTGGTTCTAATTTTGATCCAGAAGGCATTGAATCAGACTATAACTTCGAAAACTAGGGGGAGCATAAAAATTAACATGACTATAATCATAGTTTAAAAAAATTTAACATTATATAAAATATAAACATATTTGATAAAATATACATTTTTTGTTATAATTAACATATACAATATAAATATAACATATTTTATACTATAATTTTAATCACCGTGATTTGAAAATCCTGATATAGATCAGGGCAATATCACTAAAACAAATAAAATTAACAAAAACACTTTACCGTTTCACGCATAACGTTTTTATTGGCATGTGCATTCATCTTAAAGAAGCAACCATTTTGTTAAAAAAAACTTACTAGGATTTAGGTGAAATTCGTACTTCTAAAAAAATATTAATTAATTAATTAATTTATTCATTTGTTTATTTTCTGTGCTCATGAACAGCTTGACACCTTGATAATGATACACAAAAAATGTTCACAGTTTAGTAATAAATGTCTTAAAAGCTACGAAATTTGGGTTAAAGACATCAATATCTGCTCCCCCGAGGGTATTGTAGAAGTGTTGAATACGGGTCATGGGGCTGGTTTGGGAGATGTGATTAACATGGAAAGTCGGAGAAACCCGCAAAACTCGACTCGGAACGTGAATATTAATAGGAATTGTGAGATCTGGACAATCAATTAATCCATGAACACGTTTGTACAGGAAAACAAGGTTGCGCTCACGCCGTCTGGATCTCAAAGTAGGGCATTTGCATTGTCCCAACAGTCTCGCATAAGAATAATATACAGTACGACCAATGTAACGATCGTCAACAATTCAAAAAAAAAAAAAACGCTTTTCAACATTTTCAATTATCTATTGGCTCGTAGAGCTAATACAATTCCAGACTAGAGAGGAAAACTCCAAGTTGGTCCGGAATAACGAGAAATATAACCGTAGAATACAAGTTGATGTAGAGAACTAACGCGTGATTTTAGAAATTACTCCCAGCCTACGCAAAGAGTCACTTATAAGGTTGTTAACATGTACAGCAAAGTATAACGAAGAATCTATGTATACACCAAGATTACGCGTGCACTCGATTCTTTGCAGGGTATGATTGCCAATATGGTAACAAAAGTTTATTTCTTGTACGTTTCTACAGAAGACATAATAACAGTTTTAGAAGGATTGAGCGTTAACATGTTCTGACGACACCAACTGCACGCACGGCCTAACATCCTCCATAAGTTCTTCACAGCCTTCCAAGGATATGATCTGCCTAAACAGCTTGGCATCATCTGCATATTGCAAGATGAACGAATTGCGAACAATTGAGCTCAAATCAGTAATAAAAACATTTAAAAAGATCGGCCCAAGTATGGAGCCTTACGGCACACCCGAAGAAGAAATATAAGGCTGGGTGTGATGTCCAAGAACACGGACAAAATTGTGTCTACCAGACAAATAATCTAGAAACAGGGAACAAAGGAAGGCAGTCACGCCGTTGGATTCTAGTTTGTGTACAAGGAACGAATGGTCTACCAAGGCAAAGGCCTCAGAAAGGTAAAAATATACAACATTTACCTGTCCACGTTGACACACAGTATATATATATATATATAAAACTGAGAAGAGAAGAACCCTTAGTGAAAACAGCAACCACGGCCGATTTAATCTTCGACGTTTCGGACGGAGTTCGCCTTTCGTCAGGAAGAACTTTTACAGATCAACGCGGGTGGTATTTATACAATGCTACGGTCGAGTCCAAATTTCGGCGGGTTGACGGTTCGAGCTTATATATATATATATATATAGTGAGTGAAGATTGACAAGTGCAGCCGTAATAATATATATATATATATATGACTTTCTTAGATCGTTTTCTACGTGGCCTCCAGATTGTCAGTAGGCTTTCAGAGGCGTATGCTTTGTAACTTCAAGGTTATTCACGCAGAGTTCCATTGCAAGCTCAACAAGGCTTGATAAAAAAGAAAGCAACAAGGATATTTGAAGCGCTGACGTAAACACACGGGCACAGATTCATACTAAGAGATAGAGAGAGAGAGAGAAAGAGAAAGAGAGGAAGCGAAACAAGAGAGGCAGGCAGATAGACCGAGCTATCCGTCTAAAGCCAATATTGTTTCGGTTGGTGTATCCACGTGGCCTCACATGAACCTACGGCCTCCTCTTCAAGGCCAAATAACCATGATGGCGCAAAAAAAACTATTTAAGAAATTGTGGAGAAGCGATTGGAAAACGGCGCTTGGGTTGAAATGTCACTGTTCGCGCGTCACTGGCGTGCAGTTCGTCGTCATTTTTGTTGCTTTCCATATTCGGTGTGCCGGACCTTTTATATTTCGTATCCAGTCAACTGCAGGCGCAATGGGCGCAGTGGCATCACATGCATGAAGTATCCAAAAAAACAGCCGACCCGTTTTTAAAGTTTAGCAAGCAACATTGGCGGTCGCCATTTCCTGGGCACCAAGCGTGGGGTTCCATCCGAGTCTATGCCGAACACGGGCGCAGCCCCAGGTGTCAGATCATAGCCTCCTATACAGGGTGTTTTTTTCTTAGCTTCACCAAATTTAAAAAAAAAAGGAACGTGAGATAGAGTAATTTGAGCCCTGGGGAAGTTGAGTGGTCACGGCGGCCCCTAGAAAAAAGGTGAAATTAGGTAATTAGTTAGCTAATTAACTAAATTGTTTTGATTAACTTTTTAATTTTTCACTTGAGGGCACATCATATATTTAGAGGATTGAAGACCGGCCACAGCATGGTCTAGCCGTGTCGTCAAATATGGATAAAAAAGTCTTAGTAGGCGCAACGGGGAAGAGAAATGTCACTTTAGTAAATGGCGTCAAACTGAAACGAAACAGGAAAGAGTGCCGGTAAAGTTGTCGCTCCGCCCTTCCGGGTACGCGACTCGTCATTATCGCGGCTGGCTCGCCTAAACAAGTGGAACCGGCCGTGATAATGAAAAATCGCGTACCCGGAAGGGCGGAGCAATAACTTTACCGGCACTCTTCCCTGTTTAGTTTCAGTTTGACGCCATTTACTGAAGTGACATTTCTTGACCCCGTTGCGCCTACTAAGACTTTTTTATCCATATTTCACGACACGGCTAGACCCTACTGTAGTCGATCTTCAATCCTCTAAATACATTATGTGACCTGAAGTGAAAAATTAAAAAGGTAATAAAACATTTTAGTTAATTAGCTACCTAATTACCTAATTTCACCTTCTTTCTAGAAGCCGCAATGGCCACTAGCACTTCCCCAGGGCTCAAATTACTCTATCTCACGTTCCCTTTTTTCTTTCTTTTTTTTTTTTTTTGAAAATTTGGTGCAGCTTAAAAAAAAAAACCTGTATATTGACAAAGTCTGGCAGATCGCCACAAGAAGCGGCCGCTCAATTGGAAAAGGTGGAGCGGCAGACAACGGATGAGAGAATGGATGGATGGATGGATGGATGAATACGGCTGAGCCCTTTGGATCGGGCGGTAGCTTACGCCACCTAGCCATTTTGTTTTACCATTTAAGCTTAGAATATTTAAATGTGAAATCTATATTCACTCCGCAGTGCAAAGAAAGTGAGGCTATGAAACCCCCTTGCCATCAGTGGATAAGAAAATACCTAGTTTTCTCTCGATTTCTGCCACCATTCACTTAATCTTTGCTTGGTAATCTCTACAGTCTTGAAATCCACTCTCCCTTCGCTGTCTCTAAAACCCAATGACTTTATTAAGTCTATGTTGTCTTCGGTAGGCATAGGGTGAAGCCCTTTACAGTAGAGTATCAAGTGCTCAGCCGTCTCGTCCTCCTCTCCACAAGCAGTGCACACTGTATCAATTTCCTGGTACTTCACTCTGTATGTTCTGGTTCGCAGAACACCCGTTCTTGCCTCAAACAGCATTGAGCTTCCCCTAGAATTGTCATAAATGCTTTCTTTGGCACTAACCAGGAAAGCTGCATGACTAGCGCCCCGCTGCGGCGAGAGGCCGAAACACACTTCACCCGAGCAAACAAATCTGTTTCGGGTCCTCGCCATTGCAAAAGCTGTGCGCTGACGTGCAGGTTCCCCAAGAAATGGCTCTTTGATGCTATGTGTTACCAGATCCTCGAGCTCCAAACCTGCGACCGGGCACTCTATGGCTCCGTCGTCGAACTGCCAGAATTTGCGAGTATAGAGGAGGCTACGGTCTGATACACGCTCAGGGTACGTGCCCAAGCAATGGCGAAAGCAGATAACTGACGCAGCGGCCACTAGACGGCGCGCACTTTTGAAAACAAGTCGATTCCGCCAGAATCTTCTAGCAGAAGATATAAAGAAACAAAAATGCCGAAGTCGGGGGGGGGGGGGGGGGGGCTATAATCCTGTAATATTACTAATTTATTCCGCGGGCAGTTGTTACATTTTTTTTGTAAACTTATTTATTGTATTACGGCCAATAAAAGTTATTAACTAAATAAATACAAAATACAGCAGTTCTTGTCCAAAGTAGAAAGCGTCGTGGTTTATTTCAGTAACGACGTTTGCAATTAAACTGTAGTTTACAACATCGTTTAGTGCGCAGTAAGTAACTCGATCCATATGATTTTACGTCTAGAAAACCATTAACTGGGAGTTGAATTATATTTAAAGACTTCTAAACAAACATTCCTAATTTATTTATATTATGACTTTTTATCTTGTGTAAAAGTATTCTGGTCAGCACGAGGCCACTTGTTTTAGCAGTTTCCGTGTAAAATTGGTTCGTCCGAGAATGAAAACCATCTTGAATATATTTCGGTATGAAGTTGGGCCGTGGGGGTGCATATTAGTAACAGAAAAACAGGGGACACAAACACAGCGCTCTGTTTGTATTTCGTCTACTTGTCCTTCCGTCTTTTAAGGCGAAAGGTTTA